AGCCCTCTTTATTTTTATTTTTATATGGTGCTGAGGATCGAACCCAGTGCCTCATGCATGCTAAGTGAGCACTCTACCACTGAGCCACAACCCCAGCTGTCTTTTTTCACTTTGACTATGTCCTCTCACTGTTTTCTGTCCTTCATGATCTCTGATGAGAGATTAACTATTAATTCCTTGAAGGATCCCATATAAATATAAATCCCTTTTTCTTTTGGCTTTACAATTCTGTTTGTGTCTTCAACATTGGACAGACTATGATATGTCTAGATATGGGTATCTTTGAATTTATGCAAGGAAATTCTTGAGCTTTTTTCTAAGTCTAGCTTCTTTTAACTCCTTGAATGTTTAGTGTTATTCATCAGTTTGTTGGATTTTCAGCCATTATTTCTTCAAATGTTCATTCTTCCTCTTTTTCTCCATTATTTCTTTTTCTAGCACTCCCATTTTGCTATTGATACACAAGATGATGTCCCACAGGTCTCAGATGCTTGTTCATTTTTCTTCAGTCTTTTTTCTTTTCTGTTCATCAAACTGGATAGTCTCAATTGAGCTGTATGCAAGTTCTCTTCTGCCTGCTCAAATCTGCTATTGAATTTGTCTAGTAAGGCTGGGTGCAATGGCTCACATCTGTAATCCCAGTGACTGGAGAGACTGAGGCAAGAGGATCACAAGTTCAAGCAATTTAGTGAGGCTCTAAACAATTTAGTAAGACCCTGTCTCAAAATAAAATATGAAAAAGGGCTGGGGATGTGGCTCAGTGGTTAAATACCCCTGAGTTCAATCCCTGGTACGGGAGTAATGGAAAAAAGGAAGAAGGAATTTGTCTATTGAATATTTCATTCCAGTTATTGCACTTTTCAACTTTAGAAACTTCTTTTGGTTCTTTTATTTATTTGTTTTTTGTTTCTTTTGGTAGTTGTAAGTGGACAGAATGCCTTTATTTTATTTGTTTATTTTTATGTGGTGCTGAGAATCTAACTCAGTGTCTCACGCATGCTAGGCAAGTGTTCTGCCGCTAAGCTACAGCCCCAACCCCATTTTGGTTCTTTTTTTTTATAACTTCTGTTCCTTTACTGATATTCAAAATGAAAGGAGACATCATTCTTATATTTCTTTTTTTTAAATATCTTTATTTTATTTTTATATAGTGCTGAGGATTGAACCCAGTGGCTCACATATGCCAGATGACTGCTCTACCGCTGAGCCACAACCCCAGCCCTCTTATATTTCTTTTGGTTATTGAAACATGACTCCTTTCATTCTTTGAACAAGATAGTTGATTAAAAGTCTTTGACTTGCTGGGCATGGTGGTGCATACCTGTAATCCCAGCAGATCAGAAGGCAGAGGCAGGAATGATTAGTCCCCTGGGTTCAAGCCCCCCAAAAAAGTTTTTGACTAGTAAATCCCAAGTTTGAGCATCTCAAGGATGAGAGTTTGTAGCCATGTTTTTAAGACCGCTATGTAACCCATGATTTTTTAAACAAATTCTATTTCTTATCTCTGTACAATGAAAAGGTCTATTCCCCAATATCAACGAACCAACATTTTTTGTTTCTAATGATTATTCCTCATTTAAGAAAATCAGAGCACCTGGGAGAAATAACTGATTCCAGCTCAATAATGAAAGTACAACATGAGCCCCAAACAGCTTCTGTTAGGAAGCAAGGATTTTTCTCAAAGACTAATGGTATATTCTCAAAAAGAAGCGGTATGAGAAGGCTCCTGATAACGAAACTGTAGACAGTTTGAGCATTAAAATGATAATAATAAAAATATCAAGTTAAAAATAAAATCCATGATGGTATAGAGATGCTTAAAATTATAATAAGGAAAGTACCATAATGTAGCTCACTAGAGTGCTTGACCCTGGGTCCCCAACACTGCCCCCCCAAAAAAAATTTATAATAAGAGAGAAAGAAAAAGAGGAGGGAGAAATAAATCAAGGATGAAAGAAGAAAGGGAAGGATGGAGAAGAAAAAAGGAATGTTCTTTTCCAGAGAAATGCCAGCTTATATAAGAGGAATCATGGAATTAGAAATTTTGTCTTTTTGGTACTGGGGATTGAACGCAGGGGCACTTGACCACTGAGCCACATCTCCAGCCCTATTTTGTAGTTTATTTAGAGACAGGGTCTCACTGAGTTGCTTAGGGCTTCAAAGTTGCTGAGACTGGCTTTTAACTCACAATCCTCCTGCCTCAGCCTCCCAAGCCGCTGGGATTACAGGAGTGCACTACTGCTCCCAGCTAGAGATTTGGTTTTTTGTAACCTTATTGTAATAATTGGCCTTGGCAAAAGTTCTTAATGGATTTTTAAATTAGCAGGTAAAAATTGTTGGGAAATGGGATATTCTCAAGATTTCAAAGTACCATCCCAAACTCTGGAAACTGTACTTTTATACTAGAGAGATCTCTAGCATCAAACACCACCATTAGCAGATGATCAGATTTGTTATTACTAATAGAACAGTAATATGACATTACGTGTAATGATGTGCTAAATAATGTTTAACGGACCTGATTTGTAATATTTTCTAATTTCTGTTATGTTCTTACTCCCATCATGATCAATTTCAAGCTATGAATATGGCATCACCATTCTCAGAGTTGTAAAGAGGAGGTACTAACAATCAGCTTGCCTGTGAGAAAGCTCCGGTGTAACACTAAACGCACTTTCTGGCATAATAAGTATAAATCACATATTAGGTGATTTTGTAAAATAATCATAACAATAATACTTTTTTTACTTGTGCTGGGAAATGAGCCTAAGACCTCCCACATGCTAAGCATGCATTCTGCTGCTGAACTACACCCCCAGCCACAAAGTTTAATCTGAATATAATCATGAGAAAACAACCAAAGAAATTCAAAATATAGGACATTCAACAAAAAACTTGGGCTAGACTCCAAAGAAATCAATGTCATAAAAAACAACACAAAAGGGCAGAGGTATCTTCTTTTTTGGGGACACCCAGGATTGAAACCAGGGGGCACTTAATCACTGAGCCACATCCCCACTCATTTTTTTCAATATTTATTTTTTTTTAGTTTTAGGTGGACACAACACCTTTTAATTTATTTTTATGTAGTGCTGAGACCCCACGCATGCCAGGTGAGCGTGCTACCGCTTGAGCCACATCCCCAGCCCCCCACTCATTTTTTATATTTTATTTTGAGACAAGGCCTCACTAAGTGGTTGAGGGTGGCTTTGAACTTGCAATCCTCCTGCTTCAGCCTCCTATGCCACTGGGATTATAGATGTGTACCACCATGTCTGGAAGATATGATTTTTCTACATTAAAAGAAACTAAAAGAGATAAATAACCAGTGATGAGGATTAAGTTCAATGGTAGAGTGTTTGCCTAGCATGTGTGAGTCTCAAAGTTCCACCCCAACACCAAAAAAATAAAAAAGAGAGGGAGAAACAAATACAACATATACATCTTGATTAACTTCTAGTTCAAAACTAAAAAACAGAATTAATAGACACTTTAGGGGACATTTTGGGAAATTAAAATGTTAACTATAAATTTGATGACATTGAATTAATGTTAATATTCTTGCATATGGGAATATTTTTTCTCTTACATAGCAGAATGTTTTCATTCATAGGAAATTCATACTGAAATATTTAGGGGTAAAGTGCCATGATGCCTATATTACTCAGAAAACAAAACAAAACAGCCTTCCTCCCCATACATGGAAGTTAAAAAAGAAGAGGGAGAGAAAGAAAAAGTTAATATAATTAAATGTTAAGAAGTAGTTAATCAAGCCAAGTGTGTTAGTACACACCTGTAATCCCAGCAACTCAGGAAGCTGAGGCAGGAAGATAACAAGTTTGAGGCCAGACTCAATAACTTAGACCCATCTCAAAATAATAAATTAAAAGGTCTGGGGATAAAGCTTATTGGGTACCATCCCAGTACCAAAAATTAAAAAAAAAAAAAAAGAAGAAGAATTGGTGAATCTCAATGAACTTTACACAGGTATTTATTATACTTTTCTTTCAAAATATCCATAGATTTGTAAAATGTTAAATTAGAAAGATTAGGACCTGGGTACTGTAGCTCAGAGATAAAGTGCTGGCCCAAGGCCCTGGGTTCAATCCCCAGCACCACGAAAAAACAAATAAATAAAATAAAAAAGATAAGAGGAAACATGATCTCTAGCTTCAAGGTTATCTTACCACCTCTTAGGATATTGATTTTGTGTTGTTTTTTTTTTCATTATCCTTTCATTTTAATGCAGATTCCTGTATCAAGCCTGAGGGACACAGTTCTGGAACTGGCAGTGTTTGATCAACACAGGAGAAAGTTTGATAATTTCAGTTCACTAATGCTAGAATGGAAATCTTCCAATGAGACACTAGCCCATTTTGAAGATTATAAGTCAATGGAGATGGTAGCCAAAGATGATGGCAGTGGGCAGACCCGGTTACATGGTATTGTGAACATTTATGAATCCTTTCTTATGCTATTCCTGCTAAATGGTTCACGCTAAGTATTTCCTTACAGGTGAGGGTTTTACTTTGTATTTTATGATATATCATCTTTCATCTTTGTATTTTTTAGAAAACCTACAGGTAGATTTCCTTGTGTGCAAAGCTAAGGTCTAAGGCCTAACATTTCTCATAAGGAGATAAAAGTAAATTAATTTTAAAATGTGGTGATTACCTATCATTTGCCTGACATTATGGAAATATTATTAATTTATTAGCAAATATTAATTTAATGGCTACCATGTGTAAGGCACTCTGCTAAGCATTAGAGCCATATGGTGTATAAGGCAGGCATGGCCACTGCCCTCATAGAGTTAGTTTAGTGGGAAAGTCAGCCTTCAAACATTATAACCGTATTAGTCCCTTTGAAGGGCAAATATAGGGTGCCTTTAGACCTTATAATGGTGGAAGGCAGCTATGCTCACCACTATACCACCAATGCAGATTAGACCTTATAATGGTGGACCTGACCTAGTTAAAACAAAGAAGCCTACCTTGAGAAAACAACACTTACCAGACCTGAAATGGGTGGTGGGAAAAGAAAGTACAAAGAAGGAGCTGAAGACCAGGTGCAGTAGTGCACACCTGTAATCCCAGCAGCTTGGGAGGCTGAGGCAGGAGGATCACAAGTTCAATGCCAGCCTTAGCAATTTAGCAAGGCCCTAAGCAATTTAGCAAGACCCTCAAAACAAAAATTAAAAGGCCCAGGGATATGACTCAGTGGTTAAGCACCCCTGGATTCAATCCCTGGTACAAAAAAGAAAAAAAGAAAGAAAGAAAGAAAGAGAGAGAGAGAGAAAGAGATCTGAAGAAGGCAAGAGAGATAGGTTTAAAGAAAGGACCATTAGATGAGGTTTTAAGAAGGTAACAAGCCTCTGTTCGCAGCACATTTGCTGATGTTCCTTCACTTAGAGCAAGTCACCTAGCCAAAACAGGAGCCAAGATGGGTGAGGACTGCACAAGGGCATGAATACCAACAGGTGTGAATCATTGTGGCTCATTAATATAACAATCTACCACAAACAAATCCTGAAGGTTAAGAAGAAAGTAGTACAAAGGTAACTTTTAGGTTTTTGACATGAGCATTTGAGTGGATGGTAGGACCATTCAGTGGCAGCACAGGGAATCTGAAAAAGAAGAATTAAGATTTAATCCATTCTCTACTAGTCAAGAGCTTACACCCAGGGCTGGGGATGTAGCTCACCTGGTAGAGTGCTTGCCTTGCATGCACAAGCCCCTGGGTTCAATCCCCAGCAGTGCCCACCTCCAAAAAGAAAGAAAGAAAGAAAGAAAGAGCTTACACCCAAATTTACAAAAGTTTAAGACCTTAGCTAGAAAATGTGTCACCATGATACTAAGACCAGTGGCATGATGTAGTTAGTGTATAAGAAATGGGAAAGAAGAGATGCTCCTTTTATACCCTCTGCTAATCAGTCACAAATATCATTAGTGTTACCTTCTAGATATTTTTTGTTTGATCCCTTCCTTTCCAACTCCATCACTAATAATATCCTCATCACTTCTCTCTTGCATTATCATAGCAGCCTCCTAACATCTCATCCCATTTCTACCATTCTCTAGTCCGTCTCGACACTAATGCCCAGATTGATCATTCTGAAATACAAATCCAAATGTTTCTCTGAAAAAAATGTTTGTTTTTTGGTTTTTTTGTTTGTTTGTTTTTTGTACTGGGTACTGAACCTAGAGATGCTTTGTTTTGTTTTGTTTTGATACATCCCCAGCCCTTTTTAAAATTTTTTTTTTTATTTAGAGACAGGGTCTCACTGAGTTGCTTAGTGCCTCGCAATTTCTGAGGCTAGCTTTGAACTCACAATCCTCCTGCCTCAGCCTCCTCAGCTGCTGGTATTATGGGCATGCACTACTATGACCTGCTTAAAAACTTTTTTGGGGGGATAGTATATACTGAACTTGTCTCAGGACAAGTTGGGCACTGCACCAAGTCCTTTATGTATATTTTCTCACATAATCCTCTCATGTAAAGCATGACAGATTGGCATTATTATCCCTGTTTTGTTAATGTACTCATTTATCAAACATTTGTTTAGTTTTTCCTCTATCAGGAAGTCTTAGGACATAAGATTACAGTGGTCAATAGGGGAAGCAACAGACTCGATAACAACAAAGCCCATACTCCTAACTGCCGACTGTACTGTTATCATATTGTCTCTGGGACTTCCTGTATCTGTCAGGATAAAATCCAAATGCTATAGCTTTGCTTACCAGTCCCTGCTTATTTTTTGGCTTCACCTTTTCCTGCTTACACATAGCCTATATTTTCTCACCTAAATTTTAGATCCTTAACCGTGACAAGGTTTGTGCCTCTTCCCTTTGCATATGTTGTATATTCTTTTTCCTTAGATCATGCTTTTCTTGCATTTTTCACTGGAATGAAACCTATCTTTAGGGGATTTAGGAATTTTCTATCCTTCTTTATCTCCAATTTCAAGTAAATATTCCTTCTTTGTACCCTTATTTAATCTACCTGTGTGTTCTGTACATGCTTTTCTATAATAACACTCATACTGCATCATAGTGATTGGATTACTCTCAGTCACCCCTCACTAAACTGGATTTCTTTAGAAGAAAGCATTGTGTTTTCTTCCTCATAGTATAGCATAGTAGCTAGCACATAATTGGCCTTTGATAAATCTTTGTAGAATGAATATAGTGTAGTCAGGAAATGCTTCAGAAACTTAGGCATGATCATCATGAGTTAAGGCTAAAATAAGAATTGATCTAGGGCTGGGGTTGAAGCTCAGTGGTAGAGTGATTGCCTAACAAGTATGAGGTACTGGGATTGATTCTCAGCACCACATATAAATGAATGAATGAATGAATAAAGGTATTGTGTCCATCTACAACCAAAAAAAAATTTTTTTAAAAATTGATTTAGGGGCTGGAGTTGTGGCTCAGTGGTAGAGCGCTTGCCTAGCATGTGTGAGGCTCTGGGTTCGATTCTCAGCACCACATAAAAATAAATAAAATAAAGGTCCACTGACAACTAAGAAAATATTAAAAAAAAAAAGAATTGATCTAACTAAAGTGGCAGATTCATGTTTGTTAAGTTAAAAAAGGAAAAGAGGGCTAGGGATGTATCTTAGTAGCCCTGGGTTCAATTCCCAGGACTGAAAAAAAAAAAAAAGAGCAAATGAATTATTAAAGCAGGATCAGATTATAGAAGCCTTCACATGCTAGGTTAAGGAGTCTAAATTGATGTAATAAAGCTTAACCTTATAAAATTTTTGAGTGATCAATACAACATTTACATAAAAAGAACAGTTTAGAAGAGTAAAATGACTATCCCTTTATTTGTCATTCCCATTTGTAAATTGAACAAAAATTTCCATACACTTCTTTTCAGCTTATTTTTGGACTCAGAGACCATCACAGCTGGATAAAATTTTCTATTTTGCCTAGTTCACTTCCTCATTTAAAAAGGAACTGAGAGATAAATTGGTTGCATGGGGTCATATAGGAATATAGTGGCAGGTCAGCACAAAAACTTGTGTATTTCCCCATTCAGTATTTTTCTCCCCTGCAATAAAACACAATTTGGTTTTCTGGAGACACTTCTGTATTCTACATGTTATTGTTTCTCAAAATTTTTTTCTACATTTCCAGGTCATCAGATCCTTAAAGTACATCAGATCAAAGGGACTGTACTCATTGGAGTCAATTTTGTGGGCTATTCAGAGAAGAAAAGTCCAAAAGTGAGTGGAGATCATGGTATTAGAAATATAATTAGGGCTGGGGATGTGGCTCAAGCGGTAGCGTGCTCGCCTGGCATGTGTGTGGCCCGGGTCCGATCCTCAACACTACATACAAACAAAGATGTTGTGTCCACCGAAAACTAAAAAAAGTAAATATTAAAAAATTCTCTCTCTCTCTCTCTCTCTCTCTAAATATATATATATATAATTAGCAGGGCACAATGGCACAGGCCTATATCTCAGTGGAGAGACTGAAGCAAGAGGATCACAAATTCAAAGACAGTCTCAGCAACTTAGTGAGGCCCTGAGTAATTTAGTGAGACACTGTCTCAAAATAAAAAATAAAAAGGGTTAGGGCCATGGCTCAGTGGTTAAGCACCTCTGGGTTCAATACCTGGTACAAAAATTTGAGTTAAAATAAAACTTAAAAAGAAAGAAAGAACTATAAATTAAATGATTGAAATTCAAGTTTCTTCCTGAAAATTTTTTGGTAACTGATAAAATCTTAAAACTGTACACCTCTGTGACTCTGTTATCTTTGGCACTTGAGTGGGTACTCATATTTTTCTCACTAAACTGAGGAATTAAAAGTTTGTATTCACCTTTGAGGTTCTTATTACATTGCCAGGATATTTCCAACTTGCCAAGATCTGCAGCTGTGGAGCTGCTCCTGGTCGATGATGTAACTGTGTTGCCAGAGAATGCCACCATCTATAACCACCCTCGTGTGAAGGTAGAAGCTTTATGGGTCTACTTTAATGGCATCATATTGGAGGGAAGGCTATTAATTAACAGTATAACAGTTATAAAAGCTCATGTATGTGTTGAAAATCACTGAAACACACATATCAAAATTATAATGATTAGCTACAATATCCTTAACAATTATACTTTAACAATTAGTTTCTTCTTTTGGCCATTGACCTTAATCTTTTAATTTTTTAACCTTTTAATTTCCATTGAGTTGTTTGTAAACAGAAGGGAAGGGGATGGAATATTGTTTGTCTGATTTCTCCATAGGAAATATTTAACCTTGTGGAGGGATCTGGTTATTTTTTAGTCAACAGCAGTGAACTGGATATTGTCACCATCACGTATATGGAAGCAGAAAGTTCTGTCCAGGTGAGTTGTAGAAATATTCCAGATTGATGAGCTCAAACCAAAGCTCCCTCTTAGGAGAAAAATTGGAAAAATATTGTATGTTTAATATTTGTTACAAAAGTGATATTTGTTTCTCTTTCCATTGTTAATCTACATAGATTCTTCAATCAAAAATAGGGTGTTTCTTCCTACAGCTAAGTATTGTACTGGGCAGTTTTTGCTTCTGGTCGAACTTAATTATAAAAAGCATCTAGTACCATGACCTGCATGGCCATTAATTCAGAAACTGGTGAGAGGCGATGGGAGATTAGAAAAGACAAACAGACACAGAGAGAAAGCTGGGACCAAGTGGGACACTGTCCTCAGATGGAGGAACAATGACCCAGAGCTAGCTCAGCATGTTTATTACATAGGTTTTATCGTCAAAAGGATTTTCTGTGAGAAAGTTTCTTCAAAGCAGGCAGTCTTGAAGTACAAAGTACTGGCAACCAATTATAATTGTCTTTTTGCACTCATAATTCTCTACCCCTGAGCTGGTGTCTGAACTCTGGTCAAGACTGATAGTCCTGTGCCTTGAGCTAAACCTCTTTAAGTAGGGTGTTACCATAGCAACTGGGCAATCTTGACTGAACTTTTGCACAGGAAGTTCCCAGAATAGGCTCCTGCTATAAGACATTCAGAGATCCTAAACCAAGTCACCACTCCCCACAATCTAGTTCAAAGATTTTTGTTGGGCTGGGGATGTGGCTCAAGCAGTAGTGCGCTTGTCTGGCATGCGTGCAGCCCGGGTTCGATCCTCAGCACCATATGCCAACAAAGATGTTGTGTCTGCCGATAACTAAATAAATAAATAAATATTAAAAAAAAAAGATTTTTGTTAAACAAAGGCTCACTTATACCAGTTTCAAAGTACTTAAGTATGAAGACATTTAAATGTAGTATTGACTTCATAAGCAGAATATATGTTGTTTTCAGTCAGAATGTGACAATTCAAAATATTAAACTGACTCCACAATCAGCATGCCAAAGGATTTGCTTTTAGTTGACTCACAGTAATAAAAATGATACTTTATGTTAATATATATCCTTATATAAGAGTGCAAAGAATGGGATAGGGTTGTGGCTCAGGGGTAGTGCACTTGTCTGGCATGTGTGAGGCACTGTGTTTGATCCTTAGCACAGGAAAGAAAGAAAGA